TTGTGGCATTTCTTTTTAGAGAGGAATTGAACTCTGCCCAATAGAGGCAGAAAGAGAGCAAATGACTAGTCACCAGTTTTGTCTTTGGTCTCTCTATATCTTTACCCCATTACTGATTTATCATGCTTCATTCGACACTGTGTCTCAGTGTGGAGGCAGCCATCTTGATAGAGGCAGGGCTTTGCTTTCTCATGTCAGAATACAATACATAAACAGTAAAAAGGGGAGAAAGGAGCAGATAGGCCCAATAAAGGACGTAAGCGGGAAGTTAGTCACAAATGACAAGGAGAGGGCAGAAGTGCTGAACACTTTTTTCTCCTCAGTATACACTCAGGAGGGAAACGGGTTTGACGTCTATGATGAAACACTTAGTTCATCACAAAATATAGGCAATTGGTTGACTGAAACCGGGATACAACAAAGACTTAATCTACTTAATGCAAATAAAGCATTGGGACCAGATCATCTGCACCCCAAGATATTTAAGGAACTAAGCGCGGTTATAACAAGACCATTATTCATCATTTTTAAGGACTCTCTAATGACTGGTAGAGTTCCGAGTGACTGGCAGAGGGCTACGGTAGTTCCAATATTCAAAAAGGGGGCAAGATGCCAACCTGGGAATTACAGACCAGTTAGGCTTACATCGGTAATTTGTAAACTGCTAGAGGGAATAATTAAAGACTATTTAGTAGAATTTGTTCGGGATAATGGTATAGTTAGTGATAATCAGCATGGGTTTAGGAAAGACCGTTCCTGTCAGACTAACCTACTAACTTTTTACGAGGGGGTAAGTAGAGATCTGGATGGAGGGAGGTCTGTGGATGTGGTATATCTGGATTTCGCAAAAGCTTATGATACGGTACCTCATAAACGCTTACTATACAAGCTGAGGTCTATGGGCATAGAAGTAAGGGTGTGTACATGGATAGAGAACTGGCTAAACAAACGGGTACAGAGAGTATCAATAAATGGTGCCCTCTCAGACTGGGCTAGTGTCATTAGCGGTGTGCCTCAGGGTTCTGTGCTGGGACCCATGCTATTCAACCTGTTTATTAACGACATCGGGGACGGAGTAAAAAGCGATATCTCAGTGTTTGCGGACTATACCAAAATTGGGAGGGTAATAGAAACGGACCAAGATAGTATAACATTACAGGAGGACCTGGATAAAATAGGGGAGTGGGCAACAATGTGGCAGATGAGGTTTAATGTCGATACATGCAAAGTTATGCACTTTGGGATCAAAAATAAGCAAATGGGTTATCAAATTATGGATATGCCGCTAGGGAAGTCGGAAATGGAGAAACATTTGGGGGTCATTGTAGACCATAAACTGAATAATAGATTACAGTGCCAGGTTGCTGTAAGCAAAGCTAGTAGAATCCTGTCCTGCATTAAGAAGGGAATGTTTTGCAGGGATAAGTCTATAATTTTGCCATTTCACACATCACTGGTTCGGCTTCACCTGGAGTATGTGGTGCAGTTTTGGGCACCGGTACATAGAAAGGATGTCCTTGAGCTGGAGGGAGTCCAGCGGAGGGCAACCAAACTCTTACACACACACACACACACACACACACACACACACACACACACACAATAGGTTGGACTTGATGGACATATGTCTTTATTCAACCTCAAATACTATGTAACTATGTAAGAACCTCCAGCAAGGAGAACAGTGCCTAGGCACACTCACCAGGAAGTGCGCTGCTATTCTTCAGGACGCATTTCAAATAAAAGATACATTTTTAGGGTATTGCTTAGGCACAATAACATTTCTAAATGTTCTATATAACATAGAAAATATTCACTTTTTTTATTTAAAGTGATACTGAATTCAGAAGTTAAATTTTAAAAATACATTCAAGTATCTTAACGGATAAGGTACAAAGATATTTCTGCATTACTCGGCTGTAGACCCTTAAATAATCTCCAAATTCATTCTGACACTGTCCTTCCCTCTGTATGGTGGCTACTTTTGTTCCCTGTGGGTTTTGTAAAGTAGCCACCGCTCCAAGCTCACTCCCGTGATGGACTACAATCTCAATACACATTAGTAAGCTAAATGTGCGATTGTTGTCCATCATGCGAGTGAGCTTGGAGCGGTGGCTGCTTTACAACACACAGGAACCATGGGGAACAAAAGTAGCCACCCTCCAGAAGGAAGGACCTTGTCAGCACCGATTCAGAGATGATTTGAGGATCTACAGCCGGGTGATACACAAATAAGATACATTTTTTGCTAATAGTTAAAGGAGAACTATGGGGTTAGGGCTTTTCCCCATAGTTCTCCTTAGGGTAACAGGAGGACACAAACTAGCGTCCTCCCGTCACCCTAGGCTCAGTATCAGCAGCTCGCGGTATACTGAGACGCCACAGCTGAAGCGGATCCCGACAATTGTGCCGGGATCCACCCAGCTGCGTCACTGACAGCTTGCTCTGCCTATCTAGAGGCAGAGCCAGCTGTACCCGCCTCCTCCCCCGTCCGTTCCGCCAGTCAGCGCTGTCAGATCGGAGCGGGGAGAGGGGAATCCAGCCCCTCCCCTGTCATGGCAGAGACCCGTGACAGGATCGAGAGGTGAGCAAACGCCTGTATATGTTCGCTCACTTCCCGATCTACTGAGCCGACCTGTGACAGTCTCATTGTCACAGGTCGGCTAGAATTATGAGATGAGTGAAAAGCACTCACCTCATAGTTCTCCTTTAAGGTACTTGAATGTGTTTTTGAAATGTAACACCTGAGTTTGTCACTTCAAGTTCTACTGTGAATGCTTAAATTACAGTCCAAGGAACAAGTACAGTAACTCTGAGCAACAAGTCAGTGAGAAAAAGTGTTTTTTAATAGGTTACATGCATTGTCTTTTGTAACGCATGAATCCAAGTCTTCATGTGAATTCATTTATTTTCTGTGAATGGGGCAAAGTTTATTGAAAAGGAAAAGGCCTTTGGTGAAAGGTTTGTGATAGATACCCAGTTAGACAGCACTCTGTGTTTCCCTTTAGGGCAGAAATCATCACTGAACCGATTACTACATGAGCAGTATTCAGATAGAGAGTACATCTGTTCTGTAGGCATGCCATGAAGAATTAATATTGGAGAGTACACATTTGCCTATTAGAGTGAAAGCAAATATGTGTGAGCTAGGACCTAGTAATTTATTATTTTCATCTCTGGAGATTTAGCACACCTTGTCTGATATCCCCTTCCTCCTTTCCCATATAATTGATTAAGTGCGTTGTTCTGCTTTGTAGAAAGTCGCCTGTCATAGTGAAATGACATGAGAGCCCAGTATATATAAATTCTAATCCAGTATCACAGGATGGAATCAACATGCATTCTTGCACAGATATGAAGTGTTCCCCCACCTTATACCCATGTGAGTTGTCTTGTGCCAACAGCTGGAAAATGTGCAGATTGAGCAGTGAAGAGGTCCATACGATTTATTTTCATTGGTAGATGTATGAAAAGGCCACTAAACAAGCATCAGAAGTATTATTATTATACAGGATTTATATAACGCCAACAGTTTGCGCAGCGCTTTACAATATAAGGAAGAGATTACACGGGCAGGGCCCTCCTTACAATCTTGTCTTGAATTGTATTGTAATTGTAATGTCTTCCTTATATTGTAAAGGGCTGCACAAACTGTTGGCGTTATATAAATCCTGTATATTAATAATAATGACAATACAATTCAAGACAAGATGGTAAGGAGGGTCCTGCCCCTGAGGGCTTACAATCTAGAAGCAGTTAAACTTTATTAACATTGGATTGTTCCTTTTTTTGTGCAGAAAAAAAATCCACTTTACTTCACATGGCAGCTGAAAATGTTCTTGATGAGAGATTTGACTGTCTGCTGCAGTTTTAAAGAGGAACTCTGGGCAGTAAAAAAAAAAGAATATGAACCCTTGAAGTGGGGCTACCACTGCACTGCAAGGGTTAAGTACTCGTTTTGGTCTAGGGTCTAAAAAAAAAAAAAGTAGTCTCCTGAACCTCGGGCCTGAGGTAGTGACCGCTCACTCTACTCCAGCTATGGTATGTCCCTTGTCCTTTTAACATCCAATGCAAGTGAATGGGTGCGATGACATCATGGGTCCTTAGACTGCCACAGCTGGTGAGAGACTAGAGGCTGCGGGGATCGGTTTAGCAGCCAGGCAGGACCGAGCATCAGGTGAGTAATTTTTTTTCTTTTAGACTCTAGACCAAAACAGGCACTTAACCCTTGCGGTGAGTAGATGGAAGGGAGGAACCCTTGCAGTGACTCGAGGGGGAAGGGGGGGGAACTAGAGGCCATGGTGATCGGTCTAGCAGCCAGGCGGGACAGAGGATCAGGTGAGTATATGTTTTTTAAATTATTTCAGACCCCAGACCAAAACGAGCACTTAACCCTTGCAGTATGGGACTAGCACCACTGCAAGCGTTAATTTTTTTAGACTAGAGTTGGTTAATCCAGCCTGAAACCTCCAAGAGGAACCTGACGATTTGGCACAGTGAGAATAGCTGTGAAAATTAGAGATCAACTCCACAGATTCTGGCACTTGCATAAGAGTAAAGAGATCCTGAAGAAGTGCTCTGTCAAGGTGGACCAGAGAATCATTGGTCTGTTGGCAGAAAAGGTGAATGTAGAACTAAGATCTTAGTTTGCTGAAAGGTTACATTAACATTGTGCTCTAAAAACCTGAGAGTTCCAAAGACCTGCAGTTTTGATGTGGTGATTAGGAGTCTTTAATAATGCCTATCTCTGGATCGTCTGTGAAGTGCTTCCATACTGCTGCATGTAGGACTTTACTGCTGCCTTCTTCACGGCATCAAATGCAAATGGCACCATTCGCAAACATGGACATGAGTTTAAATTTGCCTTACTAAGTGGTAAACTGTTTGAAGCAAATGCATGTATATGAACCAACAAGTGTGATGCAAACTGTTGTTAACCTGAGTATAGTCTGCCTACAATAAGAAATGTAAATGTTGTTTATGTTTTGTCTTTTTTGTAGATGGGTCCCGACCGTCTCAGAAAGAAATAATTTCACTGAGAGCATTTATGTTGCTGTTTCTTAAGCAGCTCATTTTAAAGGTAACACATTCCCTTTGTTTGCTTAAGTAAATATTTTTCCTATTTAGTTCTTGATTCATGACATAAGTTGAGGAATCGGTGAACCTGGCACACAAATGGCTCATGACAGACCACTAAACATTGGCCATCCTCGGGAGTGCGAGGCCTAAGGCGACCGCCTAATTTGCCTAATTAAAGAGCCGCCTCTGATTGGCCATTTTGTAAACTAGCTGACAACCAACTTTGGCTTCTTGCTATGGCTTTATTTTGGCTTTTGTTTTTTTTTTATTGGATTTATTTTATTTTTTATATATCATAATTGTGTAATGTTAGCATGACATATTCATTCCATTTATTTTCCTTCTTCTTGCTGCAGTGTTGGCCTTGTTCCATTTCTGCCTTCAAAATATACTATAGAGTCATTGTTTTTTCTTTAACCTTCTACCGTCCCTAAATTTATGTTACAAACTAGCATACGAATACCTATGTTATTACCTGCATGTTGTTCAGAAGATGATTATCTAATCCTCTATTTAGAAATCCCAAACAGGTCTAATTAAAATAGTCATATATATTTAAAGTATGTATTTAAACAGCTTATACTTTTGGTTATTCAGGTATGGGGAGCATGCTACTCACTCAGTTTTCTCCAACTTAATAGCGCTGGGTGTTGGCAAGCAGCACCACCACATTGGGTCAGAGAGAGAGCCCTGTATAAGTTCTAGTCCCCAACACAGGGCTTGATGAAGTCACACCACAAAGTCCGTGTTCCAGAGCGTTCGGCCTCTGGAACACAAGCCGGCTAGCTCCCTGCGTTCAGGGTCGGGAGGAGGCGTGGTGGTGCATTGAAGTCAATGGCACCGCAGCCACACCCCTGCCCGCAGCATGAAAGTATGCACCCCACATGCATGAGCACAACCCTTCAAGCTGGTGGGGTAGACTGGGAACCCTGCCAAAAAATATAGTCTGGTCCCTGTCCTCACTTTTCTCCTCTATAGTTACGCTGTACAGCTTGATCGCTGAGGTTACCTACATTTTGAGCTTTCAGATTGAAGATTGAGGGAAAGCAGATTTGTTGTTACATAGTTACATAGTATTTGAGGTTGAATAAAGACATTAGTCCATCAAGTCCAACCTATTAGGATCTCATTCTAGGAGTACCTGTACCCCTGTATATTACGGTCCCTTAAGAAATCGTCCAAAAGTTTCTTGAACAATTCCACATTATTTGCTGAAATCACCGCCTGTGGCAGTGAGTTCCAGACCCTAACTGATCTTACTGTGAAGAACCCCCTTCGCCCCTTGTGCTGGAATTTTTTTTCCACCAATTTTAGGTGATGGCCTCTAGTTTTTGTAACGGAGTTAATTTTAAACAGTTTATCGCTAATGTTGCTACCACCATTAAACATTTTGTACATGGAAATCATATCCCCCCTTAATCTCCTCACCTCTAATGTGAACATGTTTAAATTTAGTAGCCTCGTCTCGTAGCTCTGGTCCTCCATACCCCTAATTAGTTTGGTTGCCCTTCGCTGGACTTTTTCCAACTCAAGGACATCTTTTCTTAGTACTGGTGACCAGAACTGGACCGCGTACTCCAGATGAGGTCGAACCAATGATCTATAAAGTGGCAAAATTATAGACTTGTCCCTGCAATACATCCCCTTTTTAATACAGGACAAGACCCTGCTAGCTTTGTTTACAGCAGCCTGGCACTGCAAACTACCTTTCAGTTTGTGGTCTACAATGACCCCCAAATCCTTCTCCATTTCATACCTTTTAACCATTGTGATCACAATCTGCTATTCTACAGCTCCTTCCTGCAGCTTCTCTGGTAAACATTGGTCTCTGTAAATAACATTTCTTGAAGTTCAATTTTTCTGAAAGTCAGAAACAAACCTACGTCCAGAGACAGTGACTGAATATACTGATAGGTTGCTGGTCAATGCAGCTGTAAATTTTGTGAAGAAAAAATGCCACGCACAATGCTGTGCTGGAGGCAGAAATGTGCAGCAGAGACCTATAGAACAGAGATGAAGGATCCACTTATACGTGGAATAATTTGGTCATTGGTGAAATGTTACATTGTGTGTAATTGGTAGAATCTTGTTTTTTTTTCCTTCAGGACCGAGGGGTCAAAGAAGATGAACTACAGAGCATTTTAAATTACCTGCTGACAATGCATGAGGTATGTTTTTTATTATGTATGGGTTTATTATGATTTTAGGATTGTTATAGAGGTTTAGAGGTGGAATTTGTGTCTACCTGAGTACTAAATAGTTTTTCAGGAAGCACATCTATGTATATCTTTTGATATACTTCCCAGATCCATTCTAGAAATGAACGTGCTTTCATCCTTGTCTGATTTTTGATGGGCAGCCTGATCAACATTACACTCATTGATTGCATCATTTTACTGATTGTGAGGCACCTAGCACTGGTGATAGTTATCCTCAGTGCAGCTGAAACCAGGTGGTCTTTGAGAGATTTAGGGCAACAGGTTGGACGTACATAGTGGGTGCAGCCGGGAGGGGGAGGAGTATTTGGGAAAACACATTCATGTAGTAAAGTTGATGTAAACCCTAACTGACATTGAGTTTTCTAAAGCACTTTGTATAACAAACTATTGCCATTTAACAAAAAAAACTACAATTGTCACCTATCTTTTGTTAAATATCAGCATTGCTAATCTCCTGGAGCCTCTTTGCAGCCATGTCCTGTCTGCATGCATGCTCACCAACATGTGATAATAACTCACTTATAACATGACTGAATTGAACAGCCATTGTTTACTTTAAGAAACTCTTGACATTGAGCGCAGTAAAGGTAGTTAGGCCTCTTGGATATGATATTGTGGAAACAAAAGCAGAAGCTAAGACACTGCTTCTCTGTGTTGTGAAAGAGCAGCCATGGCGTCTCCTTGGATATACATCTGATATGTTGATGAAGCTGTTCTTATTTTAGTTAGCCTATACCACTCTCATGTACTGTATATCTACTTTAGTGACAACAGCTTTTCTCATAGCTCAACCTTTAAAGCTAATCGTGCATCTAATAGGATGCTGGAATTAGATAATTCCCGGTGTGTGTTGTGTAAACAGTCTCCTGCCACTGTAGTATTGGCAAGAAGAGTCAGACATTAGTTAACAATAAAGTGATTTTACATGAGAACACATTGGGAATATCGATATGTGTTTGTCTATCTGTAAAGCAACTCTGTCAGTCCTTTTCTATCATGAAATAAATGCCTCTCTGCAAATCAGACATGATCGTTGCACCCAGTTGAACAGATAACGTTGCCGAAAACATCCAGCAGAGTTCTTGGTGTGTCGCGCGTCTGGTCCTTATGTGCCTATGCCTTATAATGATGTAGGTAGCAGTGAAGAAAATCACAACACACAGTGGGGGGGAAGGGGGGCATCCAGCATCTGACACTCCCAAACCTTTTGAATGCAGAATATCTTTGAGTAAGCTTCTCTTTTCAAAGGAACACAGTTTGTCAGCTCGAAGGGTGAATACAGTTTGTTACATGTAGAAGTAAACATCTCTATTTTCCAGGCTGCAGCTGTTCGGGTTACACTAACATGTTCTATTAGTGCTAAAGTGCAACCTTAAATCTCCCAGAGTTGATTATGGGCATAGTGGGGAGTTTTGATCTCTGCACATAACCTACAGTAATTGAGGGGAATTTATCAAAACTGGAGAAGACAAAATCTGGAGCAGCAGTGGACAGCAACCAATCAGTTTCTCTCTTTTAATTTTTAAATCTGAACTGTACAAACTGAAGAGAGAAGCTGATTGGTTGCCTTGGACAACTGTTCCACCGTCGATTTTTGCTCTTCTGAGCAGCTGCAAATTGCTGTCCAGCTTACCCCCTTTGGCTTGTCGTGTTTCCTGGCAACTTGGTAAATGGAGCAATTGGCTTTTACATCATGTGACCTGTTTCAAGTGGCAGTTGATTAGAGATCACATGATCCATTCTAAATGGCAATTAGTTAGAGATCACATGACTCAATCCAAATGCCAGCCTTTGAGACCATTAATAACCTTTCAAGTAACTTGACATGTAACCCATTCCATTAGTGGTTTTCTTCTTTACTTCAGTCAGCTCCTGCAGATTGCAAATTAATAGGATACCATGTCAGGGATCAGCACATTCAGAGGGTGACAACAGTACAGTGTGTTTTTGCTTAATTATGTGACTCATGCCTTTAAACCTTTTATGGTGGAGTGAAGTTTGGTGCACACTTCAAAAAAGATGACCTTTGCAATTTCGTAGCATCGGAAAATAGTGAGCTGACTTACCATGTACTATACCCATTATCTGTAATTATATTAGTTTTCCAGAGCAGACGGCTCCAACTAGCAACCATTTCCTGATGTACAAATTGGCAGTTTTAGTTTATACAACGTGTACTATAGCTGGCTGCTGAAATAAAATGGGGCATCTAAGAGTCTGTCTTGTAAACATGTTTGTCCCTATATTACAGGATGAGAATATTCATGACGTTCTGCAGCTTTTGGTGGCTCTCATGTCTGAACATCCTGCTTCGATGATACCGGCATTTGATCAGAGGAATGGAATACGGTGAGGCAAACAAAACATTCATTAAGTTTATGGGGCAAAAGCTGTTTTCTGTGCCTGCAAGCATACGTACATACTCAGATTCTTTGTGCTGCAGCCACTGCTGGGTCACTTTTCCTCTGAGGAAAAAAAAAAAAGCTATCCTAGGCAAAAATCTACATTTCCCAATAGCCTTTACAAGGAGAGCTGCTGCTTAAAGAAGTACTCCTTACAAAAATATTCTTTACCCTTGCAATGGTCTACCCCTGCAGTGCAAGGGTTATGTGAGCATGCTTGATGTCTCCAAATGTATCGAGACAGCAAAATAGCATATTTATACTGTCAGGTCTGTAGCCCAAGTGGTCCCAATATGTTCCCCTTTAGTCTCACGACAGCTGCAAGCGATCCGATATGCTTTCATTTCTGTCCTGGTAACAACTTTCCTTAGTACAGGAAGTGAAGGGAAATTGGAGACACGGACAACAATAAAAACTTAACGGAGCTTGGAATCCTTCATCTTTTTGAGAGTATTATTGAAACACTAAGACTGATTTGCAGTACAGTTGTTCCTTTTTTAGGTTTACTATTTCATATTATAAACCAAAGGAAAAAAGTGACTAATAAAAATATTAATTTTAACTACACATTAATGTACATTATTGACCAATGATATAAGAGGACACTACGTCTTTGAAGAAGTAACAATTTTATACATTTCTAATGACTTGGCATTGCAGCGGATTTGACTTAACATTTAATTGGTATTGATCGGGCTTCTGTGCAATTGGAAACCCTTTTCATTTAAGTAAATTCACTGATATATGCATCTGTTGTAATGTATGTATCTTACATTGCTGTTTTCAATGTCTGAGAGATTTTGTGTATAATAGCGGCAACACTGCTGCCAGATCGTGTGACCTCAGACAATGATTCTTTTATCCTTCATCTTTGCTGAAATGCAGCTTGTAATCTCTGGACACAATAAACCTCTGTGTACTCCAAGTCTGTACGACAAAGTCAGGATTGTTACGTTCGGTTTCGGAGAACAGCGCTGATTATTTCTTGTAGTGGATCAAGATAATTGTTTTTCATAGAGGAATTTTGGAGTCACCTCTAACCCCTCTAAAATAGTTTTGTGGGTAGAAATCTGAATACAAAGGCCAACAATATTGGGGCAACAATGAATAAACATATTGGAGGATGTAGGAATGAAGAAAAACACTGCCTATATTTTTGTGAAAAAATAAGCATTTATTAGAGGACATGTCTAATATATTTTGTGCATAATTTCTTTACCTGTTTTGTTTAGGACCAACATTTTTTATTTTTTATAGTATGGTAAATATAATAATAACATAAACCAAATTTAATGTAGGTGTTATCCCCATTTTGGATACAGTACTCCCTTTATGATCTGTGTTTATCATTTACAAGCTGCAGCTGAATGGTAGTTAAAAAGTTTCAGAAAACTTTGGAAGTGATTTCTACAAGCTTGCTGTTCGCAGTGCTCTGATACAAGCTGAAGCCTGATTCAACAAGGCCTTAGAGGGATTTTTACATTATTAATGCAAGATACTGCTTTGTAATTAAATGGAGGCTTTTCCTTCCCCAACACAGTCTGAGAAGCCCATAGAATATGAAAGGACAGTCCATCATCCTTCTGTCCATCATATCATCCATTGAGACATAGGAATATAGTAACTCTCAGGCATTTGGGTTATACTGCCACCTTCAGGAAGTTGGGACGCCAGTAAATAAAAAACATAAGACGCATCCCTTGTATGGCCCCACCTCCAACCATCATGCCTCAGCTTTTTGCTAGTAATAGTCTAACTACATTTTGGGTAGCCTTTTTATTCTTAGATTTTTCCTTTTTTTTTCAGTCGTTTTTTTTTTTTTTTTATTACATTGCAGATATTTTTTTTGGGTGACTTTAATTAGGACTTTAAAAATGCTGTATGAGCTAGTCGCTAGAGAGCAGCTATCTGGAAGGGTGCATCCTCAGCATTGGCTTTGAAGGGTGTCCCCAGACTTGCTGGACTGGAAGTTTGCGAGACTAGCTTTGAATGTGACCTTTTGGGCACTGGGCTCCACATTGTGGCACTTTTCCAGACCTTTTGTGTACTAGGTTAGTTAGCCACAGAGCATTTGCCAGGTCCTTGGGATTTTACCTTGGTCCTTCTTCATCAAACCTTTGTTCTGGTGCTAATCCCTGCAGATAGCCTGGTAGAATGATCTGACAGATCTCTGTAACTTTTGCCCACTCCTCTGTTAGACTACTTTTGGATGTCCCAAATCTCTGTATTTCTGCGTCCCTCAATGGACAATAAAAAAAAATATGATTTTTGTGCTTAATTTAAAATCTTTTTTAGCGGGTCCTGCTCCTTTGTGAAGCATATACTGCTTGCCCACAAAACTGAGGCATGATGGTTGGAGGTGGTGTTATACAGGGGCTGGCTTAGCCCTATTTGTTTGCCAATGTCCCAACCACCTGTTGGTGGCAGCATAATCCAAATGTCTAAGAATTACTAATTTCCTTTGTCCCTCAATGGACTTCAAAAAAATGATTTTACGATAAGTGCAAAGTTCTTATTTTTCCCCTTGCCACTTTCTGCATTCTTCTAAACTAACGTCAGGAAAGCTTTGCCAACGATGGTCATTTTGTCACTGGTCATGTTACAGATCATTGTATACTGCAGGTACCACTTAGATTATTTGTATGTGTAAGACTTATATTGGTTTGGGTGCCAGTTTTTAAAGTTGATGAATAAGCAGGGAAACGTGTTATCTAATAATGACATGTTAGTAATGTTGGTCTTGCTAAATAATAATTTTCACCTCTTTCAGGGTCATTTATAAGTTACTAGCATCTAAAAGTGAAAGCATCCGTGTGCAGGCACTGAAAGTCCTGGGATATTTTCTGAAGCACCTGGGCCACAAGTAAGTGGTGCAGAATAAGTATTCCATATGGTATTTGTAAATCAATTGCTGGTTTCTGCTTAGTTCTGTTTATAATGTTTATGGTTCTTGGTATCAAATGCAATTTAATTTCAAGCCTAACCATTTCCTTTCTCTTACCTTGTGATTTAATTTCCTTGGCGTGTGTGTGTGTATAGTGCTGACCTTGCTGGCTATCAGTAGAGGTCTGGAGTACATTGTTTTGTGATTAATATTTTATTTTTATCCATACGGCAGGCGGAAAGTTGAAATCATGCACACTCACAGTCTCTTCACATTGCTTGGGGAAAGGTTGATGCTCCATACCAACACAGTCACTGTTACAACATACAACACACTCTATGAGGTAAGATGTTCCATATAACCTACTTTTGGCCTGTATTAAACACCACTGCGTTCAGGCACATGTCAGTCATATTTCAGAATGCAGAATTGATACGGATTACGGGATCAATAGTTGCAACAGAATTGGTGAAATAGAATACTTGAGGTTATAGCTAAGCTATTAACAATGGTGTTTTTAAAGTTGCAAATTAGTTGGTGATCTAAGCCAAGCAATAAGAATGATTTGTTGTCTATGCCTGCTCTCTTTTAAAGTAGTATTGCACTCTCAAATCCAGGTGCAGATCAAACAAATATACATTGCCCAGCAAAGCATTGCTTTACATGTTTGCCCAAACACATATAATCATCATGTTTCTGACCAGCTGCTTCCAAGTCTCTCAGCTAAGCTTCACTGAACATCCTGTACAGTACAAGATCACAAAGGACAGAGGAGACTCCACCAACTGTTCATCTACTAGCTTGGAGAAAGGGAGGAGAGGGGGCAGGGAAGTAGCTTGATTTACTGTGTCTGTGTTTTGTGGAGACACACACAGCTTACTAGCACACACAAGGGTGACTACATAGCACTCTGAGAAAAGAGTCACTCTAAAACAGTATATTAGGACCAGTGCTCAGGGACCGGCTGATTCTGCAGGAAACTAAAACTTTTAAACATCAAGAAGCATCCATTGTAAGTGATTTCATCAGCATAAGAAATAGCTTAAAATCCTTTCCCTGTCATTGTATCACTTTGATAGTGAATAGCAGCATGGAAAGTTTGTAATGTTTTTTTGTTGGTTTTTTTTTGTCTTCCTGGTCGAGATATGCTTGGCTATATAGGATAAGGAGGAGTATGCTTCCACAGCTCCTATGCATTTTAATTTTTCCACATGTCCATAAGTGTCAGAGCCATGGAGGTTCCAGAAATAGTTATGCTGAATATACAATTTTTGGGCAAGTTTAGAAGCATTCCATCAGTTGTTGATCAAACACAGAACCGAATGGCTCATAGTAATCTGCCACTCATAGTTATTATTGTTTTCTGCTGCCAAGCAACTGTGTGATTGAAATTGAGGTGGAAATCATTCATAAATTCCTTTGGGTTGGCATGAAGTGACTGCAATTTTGGTTGGTTACTGGAAACATGGAAATTGAAACAGCAGGAGATGGATTGCTTTAGAATGGGGTTGCCCCCCATTCCCCCCCCCGCCCCCCCAGTTTAAAGTTGATGGGAAGTTTATGGAATGTTGCCAGGTATATGGATTGTTTAAGTTTTCCATACAAAGATTTTTTTCCCCTTAACATTGTGTTGATTGGGCTGGCTTATGTTACTGTATGGGATTATTTTAGATGCATTATTATTATATTGTTTCTCAGAACTCTTCTTTACAATAATAGCTCTGACGTATAATTCCCCAATTTGGACAGTGAAAGTCTAATTCTAAATATTGTACAACTTTGTAATACTGTCCCTGGAAAAGACCATCTGGCAAGTGCAGTACCATCCACTTTGTTTTAGTCAGCCATCTCTAGCTGGAAATTTGTTCTATGAAATGTTCCTTGTCCAGGCAGAGCAGTAGTAGAAACATTGTACCCATAAATGTTTAAAGTTGGAATTATAATATATTGCAGAATGCAGAAAAAACTAGACATATATACAGGCTTGATGACAGACGAAATCCAGTTAACCCCAAACTGTCCAGTCACTGCAGGCAATGATTGCATTGGGTTTTCTTGGTGTCCATATTTGCGCATTAGACTCTCACTTTTGTTCTCACAGAGCAGCTAGGACCCATGAAATAAGGTCCTCTTTAGACATGGAAACATAAGCATTAATTGGCTATTCCTGCAGAGCATTATACCAGATTAGATTTATCTGCTGATTTCTGCAGTCTTTAGTTTATTCTTTAGCTAAAACCAAGAGCAGATTTTAGTGCAGTGCTCACATTGTTAGATTGAGTGTCTGTACAGAGATTCTTTTTTCTACATAGAAGTTTCAGCATTTTTTATTCATCAAGATACAATGGGGTAGAGTTCACAGATCCATTCTGCAACAGTCAAGCATGATATTGTACCAGTGATCTTCACAAAACTCTGAATAGCCATTACTTCATTTGTTCTCTGTTGCCTTTTGTTTGGTTATCATTATATCTATGTAGGTTTGTTCTTTGCTTTGTTCTGAAGTTGCTTGTGGCAGATTTTTAAAATGTCTTTTTGTGCCATGGTATTATGATTTAGAGTTGTCGGCGTTCATAGTTTTTATTGTCTACCCTGTTATATTTTTTTTACACTTAAATGTTATCTTTATTTTTTTCGTCAGAATTTTTAATTTCAAATTCTGGTATTAAACTATTATTCACTACATTGCATGATATATGCTCTATATAAGTAAAAATTCAATTTTGTAGCCTGGTGGCAAGTGATGCCTTGCAAAGTTGGGGGTCCTAGATTTAATGGTTTCCACTGAGAAATTCATGCACAGAGTTTGTATATTCTTCAAGTGTCTGCATTAGCCTACCCTATAATTGAAACCTATGCCAATAATTTATTGCATTTTTTCAAAAAAAGTGACTGGTAGGTAGATGTCTATCTTGTTTATGTATAAAGGACTGTGTTTGGAATGTTGTATTGTAACTTCCTCAATGTAAATCTAAAGCCAAAACCTTCAGTTTTATATTGGATAAAGATGAGAATTGTTAAAACCTTGATCAAGGGTTGGCATCTGTGTTCCATTTGAGAAATTTCCCTGCACTTCCTGTCCTTAAAACACAAAAGCAAGTGAGAGGAAATCTCTCTTCAAAGTGAGAAACATCCTCTCTAAGACAGTTGGTACCAAAACATGTGTTCCCATTAGAAGTTTTCCCCTTAATTCTTGTTCTGCTTTCAACTCAAAATTTGGGAATTTGCCTTCCTTTCAGTTCCAGTGGTCTCTAGGATAAATAAGGGGGGTGGCTCTCCCTAGCGGGGACACAGACAGCAATAGAAATCTGACCGCAGCTCTAATCTTCACCATTCTATCCAAAACTATATATATCAAAAAAGTTTTGTCTTTAGATACACTTTAAGGGGAAAGGGACTAATGATTCGACTTTTAATAAAAGACTCCACTATCAGCCCATACATATGCTTGTGCAGATATTCTGCAGACTCTTCACTACTGACCAATACCTGGCCCATTTATGATTCCATTAAATATTAACTTTTTTCCTTAATCAATTTACCTTGAGGGCCTCTTCAAATGGGCCTAAATAGCAGGTGCTTGCTTTTGCTTAATTGTGCAACTATAAGTGAATGTGTTAATGCACACTTGCATTTGAAATAAGCAGTGGCATAGATCCCACATGATGTGCTTTAATTTGTAAACTGCAGGCAATGTTGCTGCATGTAGATACTTCCTAATGGTTGGTATAGTCAAAGAGAATGCATTCCAAGCACCTGAGTAGGCTTTTGGGAAGCGTTTCAGAAGAATCTGGTCATAATATTACATGCATTTTTAGGAAAAATGGTTAACATGCAATCTTCTGATATGTAAAAAAAGCCTTCCTAGTGTTGGGAAAGAGACACCCCCTCCCTTTTCATACAAATGATCTGCCACAGAGGTTTCAGACCCGTCTCATATTTGATGGCCTTCCCTGGGCCCCATGCAGAAGCTTGTTTTTTATATTTTCGAATAGAAAACTTCCAAAGGTTCATGAGAGTTCATTAGTGACTCCCTATTATTAAGTTTGTATAATGTCACTGCAGTGAGAGAACTGGCACACACAGACACCCAAGGTCTTGTTAGAAGTTGTTCTAGTTTATTGTTGCATACTTGATTTTTTATCTTATACAATTGCTTATGTAAACATGTACTTTTAAGGCAAAAGAAGAAATGACAAAGTTGCAATTCGACATAACATGGGTGCAGATGAGAGAATTCCAAGAAATAACTTAGGAATGTGCGTATGTGATAAAAAGCAGAGGGGAGTTGATGTGAAGTAAGAAAGATTAGTGTGCTGGGAAAATAATACAAAATGGTTGTGATCTGTTTACATATGTAGAAGGTCACAGGGCTTTCAGGTTGGCACATTCCATGAGTATTGACAATTCATTTAAAAATATTAACCAGATCATATTGCTGCTCATTTACATTACATAGCATCCTAACCTGTACGTCCAACCAATGTTAGAAATGCGGTGAGGAAGTGGAGACCATGCTATACATCTGGTGGTCCTGTGGTCCAATTCATCCATTTCTCAGCTCTAACAATGAGTCATGGGCTCACATTTATTTCTGAATCCAGAGATTGCCCTCTTATCTATTATACCAGGATCCCTAGTGGCAGTACCTAAATGCATTTTGAGATTTTTCTTACTAGCCACTAGTAAGAAATCATTCTGAGATACTGGAGCTCCCTGACACTTCTACCCTTTGCTGAGTGAGTTGTAGAGCTCAACTAAAGCAGTTGGAAGAACTCCCTGCCCTTTTGCAAGACACTCGCCATAAATTCATATCTGTTTTGAGCACTCAGATTAGTTACCTACATTCAAGGCATCTTCGAACATGCCTGTGGGAATGGAGGCCCCATTCCTCCTTTTCCTTCCCCTCCTACTCCTGTCATATCTTTTCCTAGATCTTTACCTATGCTCTACCTTTTCATCTCAACTATTTTCTCTCTTTCCCTACTCCCACGTACAGTGCCCCAGACCTCAGTTGATACTATATTCCCTTTTTCTTGCTTTAAGATAACAATGTAGAAGTACATTGTCCATTGGTTGACCTGTCCTCCAGTCATTTTCATGCTATGGTGGAGTACAGAGGAAGTCATATTTGTAATCTGTTTCTTTTTGCTAGTCTGTACCTTGTCAATTTTTAAACCTTATTAAACACCGTACTGTTTAGAAAAAGCCTTTCTTGGTAAATGCTGTACAAATGTGTCAAGTAATCCATATTTTTTAATATATGAATGATTATAAATGCTATTGGTTCCATCATTATATGTAGGAGGTTTGACTTATGGTCGGTTCCATTACCCCATAGACCTGTGAAGTATAGCTGTGTCCCAGAATGTCATGTGGCAGATTTCTATTCCTGGTTTCCATGCTTGTGGCAGTCGTACTACTCCAGATTTCCTGTGAAATATTCAGCTATTCCTGGAATTTGCCCTAGACCTTTCTGCTAACTGAAAACTCTATTTTAATGATGGATCACACATCACTAATGTACTCCTGAATGCAGCTGTAGTACATCCTGCATGATGATGTTTGATATTAGTTTAGTCAAATCACAAAGTACAGAGAAAACTCGGAAGATATATCTATAACAATTATGTAGTGTGTGACAGTGAGAGAAATTGGTGACATTAATATTAATAATTACTTCCATTGCTGTTAAGTTCCCTGCACTGTCATATAGCCAGACTGGCAGGCAGTAAAGGGACTGTAATAACACATTAAACTGTTTTTATCTTTATAAAGGAGAAATTGTTGCAGTGTACTTAGTAAAAATGCCTTGCCAGCACACAAGGGCAAATGTAATAGTATACAGTATTTAAGCAACTTTATGCATTTTATAGGGTTATCCCCTTCTGTGCAATATGCGTTTGATGGTTCACAGTTTGAACCATCAAACGCTACATCAGCTGCTTTAACAGCAGGCTCTTCCTGAGATTCATGAATTCATTTTCAAACACACAGTTCAGCCACACTCACAACCTATCGGTGAGCACTCAAAGCACACAGCCAACCTGCCAACAGCTGGGGATTAGGTTCAATCAACTGTTGCATCTGCTGACTGATGCTTTTCATTGCATCATCCCAAACATTTAGTTTATTTCTCTCAGAACTGTTCAACAATAATGTGCTTATTGGGAGGAGAATCTTCATTTACAGGTTTCTGTTGTTGCTCCCTCCCAGATGACTGTTACAGGTTCAAACTATTTAAGGCTCTAATTCATATCCTGAATTATGTTAGGCCACCATTATACTGCAATACATAGTGCTTGCAGACTGAAGAACATTCCCTAATCTGGCCACAAACCAACTGATTGGAGACTGTAGATGCCTTGACACATGAGGAAACATTTGTCCAAATATATACTGTAGTGCACCTAACTGCTTCACATTTTCAACATTGGATAGGCTTTATGGCGATGTTAGAATTTGAGTCCTCATCACCCTGCGATTTTGTAGCAGGGGCAGAATCACTCTCCTAAATAATGTTTTTGTTGCTAGAGAAAGCATGAATTGCAGGCTTTTTGCGAATTAAAAACAAAAATTGGATATTTCCGCAAGGTCCTGCTTTGTGGAGTTTCTAGGTTATAGTTGTGGCATGTGTAGTTTCTCCCTATTCAGATGTAGATCTCTGCAGATCCTTATGAGTTACCTTTGGGAATTCCCAAGGGTAAGTCGCAGTTGACAGAAATTGGAGTTAATTGTGAAGGGTTATGTTGTGCAAGTTGTTGGAATCTTCTTCCTGGAATTGGCGATTGGGGCCCATTAATCCAAACATTCTGGAAGGTTGTGATCTTCAAGTAGTCTTCAGGGTGAAGGATGAGTAAGTTTAATGCTCTGTTACAATGAAACGGTTCCAATAAAGGGACTGGTAGGTTACGGAGACTATCATAACACAGACTGCCATGATAGACTTAGGTGTGAGATATACTGTATCTTTGATGGTACAGTGAAATTATGTAATCTAATGGGTTGCCTTATTTATACAAGTTGTTCATGGTCCTCAGCTGGGAAATACAGTCTTTGTTGATTGGAATTATGGGAGTGGGAAATGAGAAAGAAGTGGACACACGTGCAGAAGAATTTGTGCCATATTGACAGAGTTTCGGTGTGTTTTACTTCACACATGGTGTCCTAAGAACTCAGAAATGTGTATTAAATTTAAACTAGGTAGTATTCACAAATGCTGTATAGTAAATTACCTTTGCCATTAATAAAAGGGGTTAACTCCCAGGATGTTGTCTTAGAAATAGAAGATTCATTCATTTAAATAGCATATAGTTAGAATTGACAGTTCTAGTATAAACTGTCTAAAATACTGTTCTAACTATTAGCTATTTGTAAGCAGAGATTACACACTACACTACACATGACCTTTAAGACTTAACAGGTTTCCTTTCTTCCCGAAGCATGTGTGTTAGAAAATTAACTGTGGTATTTAGTGCCTGTTTGATTCAGTGTCAGATGTTCTACTGCCGTAAAGTTTTTGCTTAATTTCACCATTACTGAGCAGTACTGATGAAAACGTGCAGCAAAACGCTGCTCACAAAAGTTGCTCCACTTGTTTTTCTTTCTTTCCTCAGCGAAATAACTTTCCCATACGCAGTTTGGTGTGGCCTGTACAGGTAGACCATAAAATCTTAAGCAAAAAAAAAAACACCTATTGGAATGGGAAAAATAAAACCTTTTACAGAGCTAATAATTTTGTTGTATGACCCAAGGAATATTACCAGTATACACAATGTTCCCATTATATACCCCCAAATCTAGCAATATAGTTGCAACATTTAAGCATGGTGTTTCTTATGATCTTCTAAAGGTTCTTTCTGTTTAATTCATAGTCTACTTCTTTATCATTTTAATGATCCTAATGCTGCCTTAAACAGCTACAAATAAGAATAATGGAACTGTTTGCCTGCTTAGAATAGGATAACTGGTGTGAAACTGAAGACAATATGGCTAAATGTATATACAGTGTAGAGCTCTATGCACCCAACTGCAAATATGATAGCTCAGCTCCATAGCAAAATTTACATACAATGCTACCTTAAACAGATCTTCCATTAAAATCCTACGCAGAGTGTAGAGCTCCATGCACCCAACTGCAAACATGATAGCTCAGCTCCATAGTTGCCAACATAACTGTATGGGGTGTAGTAATTTTTCTCACCCTTTTCTGTTAAGTTGCTTTCCTGTATTCCCCATATATGTTTTGTGGTTTTTTGGGGGGCATATGGGCATTGTAACCCTTTGTGTCTGCAATTACGTGTCACAGTTTGGCTCTAACTCTTGTACCTGACAAGATCTTTCACAATACTTTTCTCTTGGAACCAATTTATTTTGGTAAAAAAATTAAACAAGGCATGTATGTGTCAGCGTAAAAAAAAAAAGAAGATCTTTGAATTAGAAATTTTCCAATTTTTCAAGTGAAAAATAATGAAACCAGTACTACTTTTATTGTAAAGCCTGTTAGAAAGCTGGTGTATGCCATTAGGTAAGGATGGCCTTCAAAAATCTGACTCCCACTCAGGTCAGGTATTCTATGTCAGTATATTGTACTGTTGTTACTTGTCTTTTAAAATAGGACTTGATTGCAATGTTATTAATAAAACAGAAGATTAAAATAATGGTAAAGCCAAGATTTTTATTTAACTGTGGAAAACTGTAGACAGTGTGTGATTTTCTCATACAATCGTAATAAAGCATGCAACTGAAAAAGGTTCTACTGTGATGACTAGTTCCAGTAGGTATACTCATTGTGTTAGATTCAATATGAAAGCTAACCAGTGGGATGGATCTGACTGGTGCAATGTTCTCTGCAAAGCGCAGCTGAATAGGCATCAGTGCTATCTAAATAAACTTGTACAATAAAAAGTATGTCTGACTGTAGTTCTTATTTTCTTTTGTCTTTTTAGATCTTGACAGAGCAGGTTTGCACTCAAGTTGTCCATAAACCCCATCCAGAGCCAGATTCAACTGTGAAGATACAGAATCCAAGTAAGAAAAGATAAGAATTGACAGAATTATGGCTACTTTGTTGCAGTTGTTTTAGAAAGAGCATGATCAGAGGAGATGTGATGCACTTACCACATATATACTTTTATAAAGATTGTAAAGTTTGGGCTGATGTATAAACAAGAGCTGCTTTAATATAGAGATTAATTTTTTTTACTACTAATCTATTTAAGATATTCATACATATGCAGATTTTCTGCAAGGAAAGCTAATTTACTCTCCATGGCGGTATTCCGGAGTCTGGCTCGGGGTTAATTCTCAGTACCAAGAGCGGTAACCCCGAGCCAGACTCGGGAATGCACAGAAAAGTGTCACTTACCTTGTCCCTGCGACTCGCGGTGTCCTCTGCTGTACGCGGCTGGCCGATGCTGGCATCTGAGTTTTTGTTTCATTTTCGGTCATCACAGCCGGCGGGAAATACAAAAGGGAAAACATGACATTTACACAGAATACACAGAATAAAATGTAATCTGCTATGATTACACTTATGTATCAAACTATTTCACTTCAGTTTTGTCCCTAGAGCTTTGTCCAGTGCCCTGCCTGCACTTTTACTGTTCTTTCTGCCTGGAAACTTGTGAACGTCCATGGCATCCAAAAAGCGTCCCTTTAGGTCAAAATCGGTTTTAGACCAGGTAGAAAACAGCCAGTGGCGTAACAATAGCCGTAGCGACCCAGGCGGCTTCTATGGGGCCCGGGCACAGGTGGGCCAGGACACCCCCCTGATGCCGTGCGGGCCGCTGGGGCGCTATGGGTTAGAACGTGCCGCTGTTCAGATCACAGTGATCTGTGCAGCGCTGCGTTCTTCTCCATAGCCGCTGCTGAGTCAATGAGAGTCAGCAACGGCGGTGGAGGAGGCTGGACGAGGCGGGCCCGGGGGTCAGCATCAGACGTGACGGAGGAGGGGGAGGTCCCGGCGACGTAGGATTACAAATTTCCATGAAAAACAATGTATCGCTTTGGGATGCTAAAATCCTGAATAATCATACATCCAGGGAGGTTAAGGTTGTCCCTGTTTATACCTGGTACATGTTTGCGCTGCCACTGATTGTCGTCCCTGCTATTATTTAGGTGGTATAAATAATTGTTCAGAGGCCACAGTCTACTCTGTATGAACTGCTTTTCTTTTGTTCCTTGCAAAGCCTGATGGCACACACTTGAAATGTCCGTATCGCTTAGATTTAACCCTCACAGTATGTACCCAAATCTGCTGGATATTTGGGTTACGTCCTGGCAAGGTGGATAAATTCCATGCACCTGCTTGTTTATGACCATATTTAAAGCAGAACTAAAATATGTGTTCTGTAAATCTAATTAAAGTTTTAACATGTTTAAAAATAATAATAATCATAGAATGACTGCATGTTCAGGCTCAAATAGCAGTTGTGCAAGTAAGGTGCACCTTCATGGTGCTTGATCCATAGTTATCTCATGCCTGAAACACAAGCATCCTGGAAATGGCAAGCAAGATGCAAAACAACGTTTTATAAATAGCTAGGATACACATGACATTAAGTGCAACCTCTTGACACTTGAAAGGTGAAATGCTTCAGCAGGTGGTACTCTGTGTAAGTGTGTGTGTGTATGTACATTTTAAATTAAACCTTTCCAAATAGCAATATTGGTGCTTCCACTATTGACTTGGTTTTGAAAGTGCAAACTGGAGGACTGTCATCTTTATACTTTTTTCTAACTAGTCTGTGCATCACTGACTTACATCTAAGGTTTTATGATGGGTGATATGCACCTGCTTGTTACAGGTCTGTCACCCAATTGATAAAGAGACAAGATTATGTTGACTGACCTGGAGCTTGGACAAGAAGACACTGATAACGGCTCCCATTTTTGCCTCGTCAGGATCCCTTTTAATGTTTTTAGAGGCACCTTTGTATATACATAGCTAGTTTAAACTATCCTGTCAGTGACCTTTTAGCATTACATTTCATTAGTACAAGTCATCTTCCTCATATTACAAACTTTGCTTGTGTTGTGATTTTTTTTTTATCAGTGATTCTGAAAGTGGTGGCCACACTGCTGAAAAACTCCACTCCCAGCTCTGACCTTATGGAGGTGCGGCGCCTCTTTCTGTCTGACATGATTAAACTCTTCAGCAACAGTCGGGAGAATCGAAGGTCAGTGTGCCAAATATTTAAACGTGAATTTTTAAAAACTACTTTGTCTGTTTTTTTGTGTGGCCTATTAGCTGGCAAAATGCTAAATGATGAATTAACATGAGACAATTATGCCACTCGCTCCATATTATCATAAACGCACTCTCCCCACCATGAAACATGGTGGTGTCAGCATCATGCCGCCACCATGTCATAGAAGCATGATGTTTCACTGCAACAGGCCCCAGAATGCTTGTGATTGGGTAGAATAAATACAGCAAAGTATAGGAAATCCTGAAGGAAAACCAGATGTAGTCTGCAGGAAATCTAAAATTTCTCTCCAGAAAGACAATGCACCCCAGCATTGACCCAAAACTACACAAGAGTGGCTTGTAAACAATAATATCAATGTCCTGAAATAGCTGAGTCACAGTCTGAATCTCAGTCCAGTCTAGAAATTGGGGTTGGACTCACGGATAATCTCTATGATATATTTTCTTGGGACTGTTTAGCAGAAGGGATAAGATCGTGAACTGAGTGATCAGCGGTTTGTAATTGGCCCTGAAAGCGTGTTGCACAAAACTATCCGTGGTTTGAGTTTGAAGTAGATAATCTGTAAATTTGTTAAGTGCTGCAGAATTTGTTGCTAAATAAATAAATAAATACAATAAACAAACCTTATTGGTAGCTATAGACAGCAGCTCTTTTCTTCTTTACTACAATGTTTATAACTTTGTTTGGATGTATTAAAGATACAAAGGAGCTAGTTTATACAGACTAAGGAAAGAGACAAAGTGTTGTTCATTGCGGTTCTGTTTCCCAGTGCAGGCTAGTGGGCAAAAGCTTAAACCTGAGTGCATAAGAGTTGTATTTTACAGACATTAAACATCCATGTATTGCATGTACAAGAGACATTGTGCATGTGCCCCGGCTGTTAACATTATGCACTGTTATTCCTTTCTTTTTTTTTAATGTAAAGATACTTTCCATGTCTGCCGTACTTCTAGGTGCCTCCTGCAGTGCTCTGTGTGGCAGGACTGGATGTTCTCTCTCGGCTACATCAATCCAAAGAGCTCTGAAGAGCAGAAGATCACAGAGATGGTCTACAACATTTTCCGAATACTTCTGTATCATGCAATCAAATATGAATGGGGAGGCTGGAGAGTCTGGGTGGATACACTTTCTATAGCTCACTCCAAGGTACCTTGAACATTTTTATAGTCTGCACTTGTAATCTTAGCATATTGATTTGGTGCCACCTGGTGGACCACTTGGTTCAGTATTGCTCTGATATGAATGCCATTTCTTTTTCAGTAGGTAAAGTTGAATGCAATTTCTAGTTTGTATATTTTACAAATTGTGTAATGTAACCCATATGTCTGTAAGATGGGTCAGACACTGCTTTCTGACATCCATAAGTAATAAAAAGAATAGCTTGCATTGGTATTCACCACACTTTATTATTATATGACTTACTTTTTTTATTAGAATTTGACATGGATACAAAGGCATAAATCAGCAAAAGCTTAAATAAGGGACAATTTCGATGAAATGAAACAATAAAATAGTACAAGTAGTACAAAAAAATGCCATGTTAATATAACACCGATACCTGTATCCATAACTAAGAAAGAGCCTCAAACAGTTATATCCATGGCACGACAACACTCCTAGAAGAGGCACTGGGCTTATAGAAAATTAAACACAAAATAAAGAAAAAAGAAAGAAAAGTCAGAGACAGATCACACTTTATTATTGATACAAACACTATTAGTATTAATATTGTTCCTAATTTTCGTGTTAGTTTTTTTTATTAAGCAGGAAAAAGCGTTAAAGATATTACAGCTTATTTTTCCCCAAGTGTAGGCACACCTTAATTATGTGATCAAATTTGCTCAGTAAAACCTATATGTGTATGCACTTTTTTTTAGCATAGCCAAATTACATAGATCTACTACTATTTTAAGGAGTCCAGCTATAGCAGATTCTGCATTTTTGTTTATTCAACATAATATATTCAGATGACGCACTGCCTGCTTTGATACACTCCACACTCCTCTCCTGCACATGCTGCCCACTATCATATTCTCCACATTCCTCTCCCTCACATACGTCCCCCATGTCATACCCTCCACACTCCTCTCCTGCACATGCAGCCCACTATCATATTCTCCACATTCCTCTCCCTCACATACGTCCCCGAGTCATACCCTCTAGCAATCCTCCTGCTAGATATACTCCCAGCCACTATACCCTTTACACTCCAAGCCTGCATATACTGCCCTCTGTCAGCACGTCTCTCCTTCATATACTGCCCTCGGTCATACATTACAACACTTCTCTTATGCACATACTGCCCGCTGCCATACGCTGCACACTCCTCAGCTACATATACTGCCATCCTCAACACTTTTGTACTCCTCTTATGCATGTACTTCCTGCTCTGATACCTTCCACACAGCTCTCCCATACATGCTAACCGACATCTTACCCTTCCCACTCCTCTCCTGCAAATACTGCTTGCTGTCATACCCTTTACACATACTTACATACATACATATTTCTTGTATGTTCCCTGTGTTTGAAGTCTAATTAGGCTCACAGTGAGACAAAGGAATGCAATTTAGCTTCTACCCTTCCCTGCGATAGATAGGTGAGAGATAGCTGATGTGACATGACCACCATGCCAGGATCTCATTTTGTTTTTGTCAAAATGAGTTGGTAGCGTGCAGAGAGTCCAATTGCTTACACATTACAGTTACATGGCATTGCTTGGGTGATAGTTTAGATTATACTGATAAAAAATCTTTTCATGCTGGATCTGCTTTAATTTAGTTTACTGTGTATGCCCCAAATCTCTCTGAAGGCAATAACAAATTCAGTTACTCTGATAGGCTGTAATAGATAATCTACAAGGTAAAATAATAAAAATGGCACTTTTATAAAGGCAAGCACAATTATGGCTTTGAAGATTGTTTCTCCTTTGCATATACGATGAATGCTGGGAAAGACATGACTGATAGCTGGAAGAAATTGTGAATTCATGCATATATCCTCACATGAAACTGTCCTTTGAAGATAAAATCAGTATGTGAATCGTCACCCATAGCTTGATGTTTAGTAAATTGCCAGCAGTGATATGAATTTGTGTGCCGAATACAGAATGTTTTTGTGTTAAAATCACATTGTTAGTGTTTTGCTTGAACTTTGGGGGGCCTCCTATTAGTGGATCTCTACCAAAGTCTTTTTTTTCTTCTATGGTAAGGTAGGCATCTCTGTCATGTTTTTATATCTTTATCTACATGAAGCAATAAAACCGCAAAACAGTTGACACCAATACAGTTATCCCAGTTGGGAGATTTCCCCCCCACTCCTGTTTGGCGGTCAACTGTAAAAATAGGATTGGACCTGAAAGCACACTGCATTTGCACACCTACATACGCCCTTACTCTAGTGATATAAACTTAAGTTATACAGTGTAAAGCACACAGTTATGTGATACATTACATAAACCTTGGAACAGGTCTATTGTCTAATTAGGTTTATCAAATATACAAGGGGAAAAAAAAGGATTGTCGATAGATAACGAAAGATTGACCTGTTATACAGGGTGAGCGCGGAAAGTAGTTTTATACTGTTGTGAAATGTTATACACGGTGAGTGCTGAAAGTGGTATTGTGCTCTCCATTTAATATAACATGGGGGTGTGGTGCGCTTTCCATCCAGCATTTGTTTTTAGTCAACACTTATGCACGCTTGCATGCATCATATAATTGTATATGCATTCAGCATGCAGCCCTGTATCAATCATATCAATAACTGCAAGTGTTGTGACCAGCTTAAGTCACTTTTTGTTTTGATATGTATACTCCCAAATCCAGAGCATAGTAGACAGATTTCCTGCCTGCTGGAGTCACTTGTTTGTTTGTTACATTTTAAAATAACACTAATATATGTTAGCTGTATTCCTATGATGTGACCTGGAAAACATGTCAGCCAGCACCATCTGAGAAACCCTGCCCCAGAAATAGTCCTGAAAAGAAATTGCAGTACCCTCAGAAACCTCAACAGACCTATATATTTATCCTGAGTGGTGCTATAGCACACAACAGTAGAACTAGATTACAAGCCAAGCATTATATCACATTTAGTAATGCGTCTACTCAGCAACATAATTCCCCCAAGAAATGTGTATAATTGCCAGCACACTGGATAGTTATTGTGACAGTAAATTGTTATTGCAGTATAATTAACCTACAAAACATACATAATTGGCAGCCTGGACATTAATTTGTGTTGATACCTGTATATTTGCAGCAAAATTATCCACAAAGCGTACAGAAGTGTCAGCACATTGAATAGTGATTTTTACTGCGAGTCTCTATTGCAGCAAAATTAGCATGAAATATATATTATTGGCAGTGCACTGGACAATAATTGTTATTGTGCGTCTTTATTGCTTCATAATCACCCACAAAGTATTTATAATCGCTAGCATACCAGATGGCGATTGTTCTGCCTTAAGTATGAACCATCACAGACAGTAAACCAGTTATAGAGTACCTTTAAATCCCAATTAGAATTAGATGAATAGAGTATAGAAGAATTAGAACTCAATTCTAGTGTGAGCTGCACTTCATGCAGCACTTGGCCTACTAGGTAGTGGGCGTACGAAACCACCAATTTATTGGTTTCATGTTGAATCCCAGTAGAGCCTCCGTAAATAGAAGGTATTCACGTGTCTTATTCCATCCAATATCCCAGAAGTAAGAGGTTACTCTGTCTCATTGTTTCCCAACTCCTACCCTGTAGCGCCATTGTTTTTATGCACTCTAATTTTGATGGCTAACAAGCCTTAAACAGCTCTTTATTTTAGTCTTTGTCAGTACACTACATTAGGGCTTGTAAAGGAAGGTGTAAAGCCTTGGTTCTCAAGTGGTGGGTCGTGACCCAAAAGTGGGTCGCGAACCCATGTTCAGTGGGTCCGCCGCATGCCTTCCACTTTTCTAAATGAGGCTCCTCTGCCTCCCCCTAGCACAGCAGTGTCTGTTCTTGTGCCAAGCAGCCATTCAAAATATATGCCCAGTGCGTTGCATTCATTTGAATAGTACCCCAAACACACTTCTCACCCACAGTTCGTGGGGCCGCACCGGAACGAGCAGCACCCTAATAACGTGTGTTCCATTGCAGTGCAGACTTGGGTCGCAACTTAATGACCAAGGACAAATGTGGATCCCGAGGTTACACAGGTTGAGAACCACTGGTGTAAAGGAATCATTTGCAGGGCTATACCCACTATCTTGAAATAATATAATCCTCTTATTCTTGAGATATGTGATGGAATAAGACATGTAAATACCTTCTTAGAAGGCTTCACTGTGCTACCGTTTCACTATGAAATACTGAGTTGAGGATTTATGCTTCCTCAAGGTGTAGCATAAATAGGTATGTGGGTAAGGCTTCCTGTCTCTACTTGGCACCCCTCTCCTCTACCAGGTACCCAGACAGTAATAAGAACCTGATGGAGGTTCTAATGCTTTCCCACACTATAAAAGTTTGTTTGGAGCGTAATCTGATTTGACCACATTGTATAACACCTGCACTCAAAAAAGGTTGTTTATATAATTTCGTTAAAAGTCGTCTAATTTTTCTTGGGTAAATTTAATGGATAAAATAGTGATTTTCACTTCTTTATCCCTGCTTTAGAAAAGGAGGACATGCCCAATCCTTTATAGTTGTATCAAGGATGCAGTTATCTTAGGGCTTGTTCACACCATGTCCGGACCAGAACAGTTTATTCCTGGACCAAAAAAGCATCCCAATGTATGCCTATGGTATTTCTGGGCTCTGTTCACACCAGCACAGTCCGTTCTGGTCCAGACAAAACAAATACTGCTCATCTCATTTTCTCTAGTCTTAAATGCACTGGAAAGCATGGAAGCGCATCAAAAATACACACAAATGCATTTTAAGCTTAAAAAAAAATGCATCGCGATCCAGATCTGGTCCGGGAAACGTTGTAAACCTGGCCTTAGAGTTTCTAAAGCTAGAATATTTTGGATACTAGATACCTCATAGCTCTCCTCTGCAATTGGCCTTTAATCTAACTTACAGACATGTCTTTCAATGGTGGAAAACATCAGTGCATTAGTGATCGGATTGCAAACAACTCTATATTAAGCATCATTAGCAGTTTTGGTAAAGCACCTATAACAGTAACTACCGTATATACTCGAGTATAAGCCGTCCCGAATATAAGCCGAGGTACCTAATTTTACCAAAAAAAAACTGGGAAAAAGTATTGACCCGAATATAAGCCGAGGTACCTAATTTTACCAAAAAAAAACTGGGAAAAAGTATTGACCCGAATATAAGCCGAGGGTGGGAAATGAGGCAGCTAATGGTAGATAGATACCAATAAAATTACATTAATATTTATTTAAAAGAAAAATAACCTAGCTCTGTAAGTGGAAAAGGGGGTACAGGGCTACATATCATGTACTACGGATCATTTAACCCATTCATATTAGCAGAGGATAATTGTAAATCTATTGTTCAGTGCATTCTATATGTAGTATATAGTACATGTACATATAGAGTGCCTGCAACAATACATTTACAATGATCCTCTGCTAACATGAATGGGTTAAATGATCCATAGTACAGGGCTACATATCATGTACTACGGATCATTTAACCCATTCATATTAGCAGAGGATAATTGTAAATCTATTGTTCAGTGCATTCTATATGTAGTATATAGTACATGTACATATAGAGTGCCTGCAACAATACATTTACAATGATCCTCTGCTAACATGAATGGGTTAAATGATCCATAGTACAGGGCTACATATCATGTACTACGGATCATTTAACCCATTCATATTAGCAGAGGATAATTGTAAATCTATTGTTCAGTGCATTCTATATGTAGTATATAGTACATGTACATATAGAGTGCCTGCAACAATACATTTACAATGATCCTCTGCTAACATGAATGGGTTAAATGATCCGTAGTACATGATATGTAGCCCTGTACCCCCTTTTCCACTTACAGAGCTAGGTTATTTTTCTTTTAAATAAATATTAATGTAATTTTATTGGTATCTATCTACCATTAGCTGCCTCATTTCCCACCCTCGGCTTATATTCGGGACGGCTTATACTCGAGTATATACGGTATATGAGGCATGATGAAATCTAAGGGCTACTCTGTGTACAAAAACTATCCAAATTTTCCACTGATTGGTTTAAAGTAATACTCCCATTCAGAAAAAAAAAAACAGATGAACTGTATGAACTCCATACATTGATAGAGTTTAGCAAACAACAATGAAGTTTCTTAGCGTTTTTTTTTTCTGTTTAAAGAAAATTATTTGGGACTTGACAGCAGTTTTGCCAAACTGATACCTAACGGGGGAGATCTTCATTATCACCACTTGAACAATCTTAGCTTTGTGATTAGAAACATGGCTGCTTCTACATCCCTTTATGTGTGCAAGAATCTTAGACTACATCATGAGAAAAGTGTGGAAGCTGCTTTTGCTGACCTCTCCTTTTGTGAATGTTAGTTCCCTAGCTGTTATGCTGATGCATTGGCTTCAGTACATTCTAAGTGTCTGCCCCCACACGGATATAGAGATAAGGAAGTCTGACACTCATTAACAGCATATTGTTTTAGGTCAGACACAGCCAGGCAGCTAGCATTGTCAATATAGTGTCCGTAAAGACAGCTCCAATTCTTTACTCATGACAGAGTTGATTTAAAGTATATCTAAGGCCCATTTTTTTGTTTATCCTGAATAGAGTAGCGGAATATATAACCCACATGTTGCCTTTGTTTTGGGCTTTTTTTTCCTAGTCCCATTGGGAAGATTTACTTTAACTTTCTTCCCTGTAAACACAACAGGAAGTGAGAGGATATTTTTTCTAAGTAAGATAGATCCCACTTAAGCAGTTGTCATTGGAACAGGTTTCCCAGTTAGATGATTCCCCCTCTTGTTCTAGTGACAACTTAACAATTTAAATTTCCTTCACTTCCAGTCTTGGTGACAATGGTCCCCAGGAGAAATAGGTTTAATTTTCTCAGTGGGGACAACAGTAAAAAAGAACTGCCAGGGGTTCTAATTCCACCCACATTTTGGCTTTACATACACTTTAATGTGTCTTGCCAATATGAAATGCCTGTTGCAAAGGAAGTCTTATGTTTACTTAATGAGGCCAGTGCATCATATAGTAACAGGATTTGGTATTTGTCATACAGGAGCTGCTAGTTATTCTTTAACCTGAAATCCTTCACCAAGTTGTCTCAACAGTTATCATTTGAAGTTTTTAAATGAATATAAACAAACAAATCACCTCTAACCACTCACTAGTATTTGTATATTTGTGTTTAGAACAGTGATACAGTAATTCAGGTGGTTGGTTATGCATAAATCATCACAATGTATTTTGTCTTTATCAGTTGGTCATTACTGAGTATGGCATTTATTGCGCCATATTTTTCAACGAGCTTCAGATTTTCTGATTCCAGCTGTTCTAGTTGCTAAGAACTAATCGCATAACCCTTCCTGTATGTGAGGTGTATGTTTAAAGGGTTCCAAATAAAGGAAATTAACCTTTGTTGTGTAGGAACCCTTCAAGGTGTCCTGAACTTTTTATGGGGTAACTAAGGTGTGTGTTCTTTTTTTAAGGTCACTTATGAAGCTCACAAGGAATACTTGGCAAAAATGTATGAAGAGTATCAAAGACAAGAAGAGGAGAACATCAAGAAGGGTAAAAAAGGAAATGTCAGCACCATATCAGGTCTCTCGCAAGTTGCAACTGTTAAAGGCGGACTGGAAATTAGAGAAATTGAGGACCTTTCCCAGAGTCAGAGTCCTGAAAGTGAAACAGACTATCCTGTCAATGCTGACACCAGAGACCTGCTTATTGCCACTAAAATTTCAGATGATGCCATTACCAGCACTGATAGACCATCTGGTGGTGTTCGAGTTGAGGTACATGACCTTTTGGTGGATATCAAAGCAGAAAAGGTTGAAGCTACAGAGGTAAAACTGGATGATTTAGATTTATCTCCAGAGACTTTGGTCACTGGGGAAAACAGTGCTCTGGTGGAAGTAGAATCTTTATTGGACAATGTCTACAGTGCGGCTGTTGAAAAACTTCAAAACAATGTTCATGACAGTGTTGGCATTATAAAGGAAACTGAAGAGAAAGATGGTCCTCTGATCACACTAGCTGATGAGAAAGACCAAACCCCTTCTAACAATACCTCATTCCTTTTTGATAAAATTACCCATTCAGAAGACAAACTGTTGCCTGAGCTGACTGGTGGCAACCATCTAACCATTGGTAATGTCCAGGATGCTCATGTTCACCTCGGTGTTAATGATGATCTTGGTCTGCTGGCCCACATGACAGGTAGCGTTGACCTCACTTGTGCGTCAGCTGTAATCGGGGAGAAAGACTTTAAAATCCACACGACAGCTGATAGTTTAGGGAGCCTTTCTGATCGAGAATTGGCTTCATCATCAAAGGGGCTGGAATATGCTCAAATGACTACTACCACACTAGAATCTGAATCATCTAGCAAATCCATAGTAAATATCGATGCTAGCAGTACCGTCTCTGACACTGAGAGGTCCGATGATGGTCGGGATCTTGGCAAAGAGATTAAGAAAATACAAACCACTACAACTACCACACAGGTAAGGCTATTCACCTGTAAATTAGACATTTTTGTGTATAGTGGTAGTCTCAGTGGAGCATAGTTACCTGTTATTTTTTTATTTGTTATGTTTATGCTATTAATGTTTGGTTTGCTATTGCTTTATTGAAATCTATTCTGTAGGTCAAACACATTATTGGCTAGTGTACATTACTGTGTACCTTTTGACCCACATTCACAGCCCTGTTCACTTGGACGAACAAAGTACCGCTTTCCCTTAAAAATCAGTTTTTTAATCCATATTTGGAGCTCACTTATTAGTGAACATGGGCACTAGATGTCACTGCTGATTATTCAGTAGGCCTAGATAACTTTAATAATTGTGGTATTCTGGTACATGGGGACGATACAAATAGTATCTGTCAATGGGAAGCCTAAAGTATGTAAGTAAAATAACGTGTCCATGTGTCAAATGTGTTTCACATCTAAACGAGACAGACTGAGTGGCTGATCTAGTAGATTAGACATCTAAGCTTTGATGTTTCTACATATATTCTTTCTCTGCCTTGACTTTGCATCACTTTTTTTTTTGAACAAAATATTTATTAATTTCCAAGTTACTTCACACATATACATTAAAATCTTACAAACAATTCCTATTTACTCCACTTAAAAAAAAAACATCGGCGTCTCTCCTCCCACAACGCTCAGCCGCCTATCACAGTCCGGCAGAGTGGTGTGGGGGGGCGGAGACAGCGCTGTCACAGATGATCTGTGACAGGAGGCTGAGCGGTGCGGGGAGGAGAGGCGCCGGCCGCTCTTAGCTCTCGTCCCGCAGCGCTCGGCCGCCTGTGACAGTTTCTCTCCTCCCCGCTGGGACACAGCAGTGCCCAGCAGGGAGGAGAGAATAGGCTGCACCGCTATATCGGCAAGAAAATGGCACTTTTGGTCGATATATCGGTGCGTCCCTAGTTTAAAGTTACTTGGCATGTCTCTCGAAAATATGGTTGGTCTTGTTTGTCAAAGTTTCTCGAGCTGTCTGTTTTATCATCAACAGATTCCAACTTCCACATTTGCATATTTGAAAATAAAGGGAGTATATCAATTTTAAGGGGAGTCAGACAATGTACATTTCAGATATTTAGGGATGATGTTCCAAAGCTGCTCTTAGAGGAAAATGTCTTGCCTATAGCAACCAAATAAAATAGTTGGTTGCAGAAAGACTGTGGACAACAATAGGGTTTTCTTGCTGGCACATTTTGATACATAAATCCCTCATAGTCTAGTGCAGGATGGTTTATAATAAACTGAACATGCGGTTTTCTTCACACTTGCAAACAAAAGAGATTTCTTTATTTTGGGTAGCATTGGATAGCATTAAAATTCAGTAGTTTTTCCATGCTCTGGGGCCAGTAAGGAGATTTTCTCTCACCCCTTCCCTTGACATCTATGACAAACTGAACTTGGTTTCTACTGAAGCGCCTTCTATCACCAGTCCCTGAATATTGCTATGCAAAATATTTCTTATGTTCTGCACCCTCTTCTGTTTTCGTCATAGTAATATGAGGGTTCACTTGATTCTGTGACAACTTCAGTTGAAAAAAATCTCGCTTGTTGCAGGTGTGCCAGAATGGTGACATTTTTTATTTGGAGTCCCAGACAAAATAAAGACCTGGTGGAAAATAAAACCCCACCACTTTCCAGCCAAAAAGAGAAAGCTGTTTTGGATGGAATAACTATCCAAAACAGTGTTGTGCTGTGAGGTGCTATCATGTGTCCAGTTATTTGAATTTACTGCACCATCGAGTTATAGTAAATTGATGTATACATTAAAACTCATTCAGTAGAAGGGTCTTTTCATAGTATTGCGCAATTTTATGTTGCTTTTGTATTTATATGACAACTTCTGCTCAGAGTAATTGGACTGAATAAATCAATTACGCCCATTGCTGTGGAGGATCTCATTCATTGAATGTGTCGCACCTCCAATTTTAGCATGGCAGACAACCATGGAGATGAGTTTGTGTTTATAGTGTGCAATGATATCCCAGTGGCAGCTATTTTCATCAGTCTGAAATACATGCTCATAAATATTTCCATACAGGTAAGCCATAGCCTCATGGGAGCATGTGTGTATCTAAAACATTTATCACACTGTGGACCCTGGAGTCTTATGTTTAGTTTTTTTATTACACCGTGCCACAGGCATGAGGAAGGTGTGATTACTGTTTACAGGCTTAGTCAGTGTCAGTACAATGGGTTCTCCAGGGAGCGGCCTATTCCAATAGAATGGTGCCTATTTCCAAGCTGTCCATATGTTGAACAAATCTGGTTCTCATGCAGTATATTTGACCTTACATGTACAAAATATACCTGCAAGAAAAGCATCTGCTGTTTGTAGCGGTCTGTACTTTTCATTTAAAACGTGCTGGGTAAATATTGTGTTTGGTTTCTGCAAGAAACACTCTCTCCTTCCATACATTTTTTTTATGGGTGGACAAATAGTACTGGATTCAGGAGCTATCATGGCTGTCTACCAGCCATTAACATATTGAAGGATTTAGGGCACTTGTTGAAAAATAGAAACGGCTTTAGAACATTTTTGGGGGGTGGACGAGCTATGGGGTTCCTTGGATTTCTTTGGCCCTGCATTTTGTTCATTCCGTTTCACTGCAGGTTTTCTTGAGAGCTGGTTCACACCATAACCAGTGCGCTCTGGCACGGTTAGTGGCCGGAACATACAGGATCACATAATTAAAACGTCCCCCGTTCTGGGGCTGGAGGGAGTGGTGGTGGTGCCAGTCATGTCAATGCACTGCACAGGACTGTGGGCATTGCTGTACCACGCATTCTGGTGCGAGCGATCGCACTGCGGGCAGGAGCCATGTCTGCAGTGCCATTGACATGAATGGCACCACCATGCCCCAGAAAGCAGGAGGCTTTAATTATGCAAGCCAGTGCGTTCCAGCCACAAACTGTGCTGGAGTGCACTGGCTATGGTGTGAACCGGCCTTTTCGAGCTGAACTCTAGGCAGATACAAAAGACAAATTTTTTTTATCAATAATAAATTGCTAAACGTATTTTATAAATGCAAGCAGTGTAAATACCTGAATTTGACTTGGTATTAGCCTCCAGAAGTCTACTGTACAATAGAACTCTAATGTGCAAGGAAGAAGCCAAGGAGCCAATTAGTCCATAAGTTTACACTAGTAGGAAGCGAAAGCAGAGTCACAGAGATGAGCTCATCACTGTGCCGCTTATCCTTTCACTGTCCAGTCACAGGCTGACCTGGGCTCAGAGAAAGTGGGTTTAATGATGTTGGCCATCGGTGTGAGAAATTTTAGCAGAATAAATGTGGGAAATCTTTGGATTGATGGTGAATAGTGCAGCAAAATCTGGTTTTACATTATGTTGTCTTTAATAGGCTATACGTTTTTTTCAGATTTTGGGCTGGGTTTTTTTTGCTTTAGAACCTTTACACTTTAAATTGGCTTGGCTTTTTACTCCTCCGTTATAAAGAAAAGAATGTTAAATCGTTTCCTAAATGGGCCTCTATTTTATAGATAATTTTTGCAGCATGTTCAGGGTTGCAAAAAAGCTTTCCTGTCATAAAAGGGAACATGCAGAAATCCAATAAAACCAAACTGTCATTATAGTATGAAAATAAGTTTACCCTGCAGAGGTGATGTGAAATATCGAGTGGTCTGAAAACGCTCTTAATCATATAAATTTTGTTACACTTGGCAGAGCCCAATGTTCAAAATAGTACAGAAATAAAAAGTTAATGTCTTTTCTCCCTTGTAGCATTTATGCAATTTGCCCATCAGTGAATGCTGAGCAGGAATGGCAAAGCTTTTTTTTGCTTTTCACAGAATTTAAGAGTGGTGCCCGTTGCTAAGACAACAGATTGCATTCCATCTCTTAACTGCCACTGCCCTACTGATTCAGAATTACAAGTGTGGATCTAGCAATATACACCTTTTCTAAGTATGCACTCTTCCTTACTTGTGCCTATTACCTGCTGGTCACTGTCCTACTTCTGCTGATCTTTCCTTTAACAGCAGAGGGACGTGATACGGCCCACACATGCACTCACACCCTCTTTACAATAAATACCAGCTTATCCTATTTTGACTGTGGGTTCCTGATTAAACCAAGGAGGCTTAATTTGAAAGGTCTATTAAATTTAAAATACAGTTGGAATCCCGGTGTGTCAATCTTCATGGTTTTCCTCAGCTTGCACTGGTTCCTCTTGCTGACCCCCATCTCATTGTCTCCCATAATGGGTGGAAGACAGAGGGAGTAACTAGGAAATTGACCGTCACAGAAGTGATGGTTTAGTGCAGACTTCAGGAGAAGATTCCTCAGTATAAGAGAGAGGTTTGGCATTACAGACATCAGGAAAAGTAATTATGTCCTCTATAAGTTTATACAGCATGGGGGTAGCTTTTACTTTAGTTCAATTTTCTCTTTGGCCTCATTCACACTGGGCTAATGCGGGGCATACACGTTCACGCGGTGTGCACGCCCATGTCGGGCCGTTCCCAAGAGGGATAGGTGTTACGTGTAACAGCCTGTTCTTCTCTGTGGCTGTACGCTGTCATACGCACACCCGAACTGCACATCCGTGCGGGCCCAGGTGTCCATGCTCGGACGCAGACAGTATCCACACTTAGAGCATAATTGGCTGGAAAACGGGTATGAAAATGTTGCCCTTTAGCTTCATGCCTTTTTATCAAAAATCTGGTTTATTTACTGTCAATTTTACTTGTTAAAACCTGTCATTTGTTTAGTTTGCAAACAAAATACTGGATTCTGCCTAAAGGGACCCGTGCCATTCCTTTCGCTTTTCCATCTAACAGTACCATTGCATAGAGGCTGTCGTAAGGTCAAGGTGAAGCACGCTAGATCTGGTTCTTCTTTTTTTTTTTTTAAGTCCCAAATTGTCTGGGTTCAGCTTCTCTCCACAAAACCAGGATCCTTCTCCCGTGGCAATCACCTGGCTTTGGAAAAACCCACATATCCAGTATATTTTGATT